AAAAATAAAGGAGGAAAGAAAATTCCAACGTTGACTCTCTCTCTATCTCTCTGTCATTTGTGTCGGTTTCAAAAATACAGAACGTAGTAAGGAAAATTGAGACGCGATTATCCATTCAACGTCAGTCAGCGTGTGTGGTCGCACACGCGATTCCCGACAGCTTGACGAACGAGCTAAATTCTCACTCAGTAAACATCGTCTCCTTAACAAGAACCATTTTTGCATATTACGTGTACATGGCTAATGAGGTCAAGCTTAAAGAGGCCAAGTGACAAAACAGGTTGATGCATTTTTCACGTATACGTTCGGAGGAAAAACGGTATACATACATATACGCGTAATATATTCAGAGATGGGGTAGGCTCGACGAAAGTTATCGAAATTCCTCGAATCGAGTTCGTACCGAAGTGTGGTGAGCAACGATTATAAACTATCCGGAGAAATTTACTCGGAATTTTCCCGATCTAACGCGGTTAAGCTTTGATTAATCGCCTGGTTCGGATTTAATTAATAATGGAAGAGTCGAATGACTGTGGAAAAACAGCAGGCGGGTTGTATGAATTATAGCTCACGTTCGTAGTCGTAAATAACCGTTCCACGAATAAAACTTTCTCCTTCCCGTTGACGTTTCGCATATAGGGGCGGTTATTCCGATTCTTATTCTTCGCTAAATTCACCTTGATTATCCCCACAATCTCACGCTACCACGGATAACGCGCGATTCGACTGGTTTCTCTCTTCCTTTTTATTAGCGAATGGGTAACTCGATCGAACGGTTAATTTAAGCATACGATTCGAACGATAGCGAGACCACCGTAAATAACTCTCCGGGAGCCCCGATTCGGAAGCAGATAGCGGAGGTACGTGGGTGGCTCGTATGGAGCGCGAGGGCGCCAAGAAAAATGTCTTAACTTTTATCCGTGCACCGTGTCTCCGTTTGCACCGCGATACACGTAACATTATCACTTCCGTGTGCTGTCGCAGATATGAAATAGGCCTAACCCTCCATTCGCGATTGATTAAACTCCTATCATCGTGTCAATTCTGACCGCGTTTTTATCGACGAATTAACAGATACCCGAATTGGGAAACGTATTTTTGTCAATAACGAAATTACGCATTACCGAAAAAAGATCGATTGCTACAGTATTCGTTCCGATAGAAATTCTCTACGGATATCGGAAGACAGATGCAGCGGGAAGGTAATAGGAGAATCGTGCGAGATGAAATTTTGTTGCGAACGAAATGATCGAAGGGGTGTTTCTCTGTTCGGAGAGAAAGAGTCGTCAAATCGAAAGGAGACCACTGGTGCACCCACACTCTGTTGCAACCACTCGAAACGTGTCGGTGCACGCGGCGTATTTACGTACGCATGGACTTGCACAAGACAAAGAGGCATAAACTCGTCACGCACGCATGCACATTTGTGTGGCCGACAGGCGCCACCATGCCGGTTCTGTGTTCGCTCAGCGTCGGTGTGTTGTCTGTAGGACAAGCGCACGTAACACCAGCTGCAACCCGGCCGAGTGTGAACACGTGAAACACCGTCGGTACCCGCGTGTGCGTGCATGCGTTACGTTTGGCGGATGAGCACGCATTTTTTCGACGCGGTTCCAAAACCACGATGCCACTTTTTAATTTCCATTCTGCGATCGTTGCAGACACAGTCACACGTCTCTTCGTGAAAAAATAGCTCGATACGACTTTTCCCTTTGTCTCGATATTATTTTCGCTAATTTCGAAGATCGACGGTGAAATAAATGAAAATTGCCGGGCGAAAAGGTTTTTACGAACAATTCGAACGAACACGGATGCTTTTCCTACTTTTCTTGAACATTCGCAAAACTGACAATAGTGCGTCTGGGATTCGAAACGAGTGACTCATATCGTAAAATCGACCTCGCCGGGTCTATAAATATGCAACCGACTGCACGAACCGAACGAGAAATATCACAATTCCGTAACTTGTTTGTATCGCTTGTGCAGATAAGGAACTCGAATCACTGGTATCTTGCGTAATTTTTAACGAACCATTCGGAAGTACATACAATGTTTCTATAGACGGGACACGGCTACCAGTGTACGATTAAACCCGGCACGCATTGTCATTTCGATCGATCATGGTACACGGACCGTTTCCCGATACTCCGCGTAAAGCCAATCGAGTTAATGATTCCGGGAAACTCGAGAAACTTTCTAATCTGACTGCACTATAAATATAAAATTGAACGCGATCGTTCTTCCTCGAACGTGGAAAGATAAACGGCCGGGACTCGTCGGATTAACAGCATCGTCGTGTGATCATAGAGGAGCGGAGAGAAGGACAGTCGTTCTCCTTTTTTTTTTTCTCTCGTACGAGGAATGCAGCGAGACGGTTGTCTGAGAAGCTATAACATCGGTGAGATGGTTCCATGAACCGAATCTCGTCGTCTGGCGTATATAAACAGAGCTACTACCTACATATGCAGCTCTGAAAATTCCAAGGGAATCAGATGAAAGAAAGATTGCAGTTTCGTTGAAAAATCAACGAAGAGTTGGGTAACGTATCGGATAACCGTGTCGCATAATCTGCATATAAGCTGTGATTTATTGTATCGTTCTCGGTTGCGTAACAAGACTCTTCTTCTTCTTTCGTTATCTGCTTAGAGATGAATTAAAAATATGTTTCTCAAGGCTGTAGGCCAGAATTAAACCGACTGAACCTTCCAATTTGGAGTATGCAAAAGTGTAGAAAAGCGTTTCTTTCATTTCCACTGGCTACGAGATCGTTCCTACAGGCTCTGTCTAACCCGTTCAAGGTACGATTTTGTAAATGAAAAAAATTCAGAAGGTTTCTGGACATCGGTGTTACTCGCGATGAGCATGCAATTCACGATGCACGACGGAGAGACGTTGCGGTATACTACTTGCGTAAACGAGGACCGCGCAGACAAGCGTGTCGGAAGGTAGCTATCGTGCACATAGGCATTATATTATGTACTCCGCTATCCGCGCGCCTAGCTGGCGCCCGACACATACTTTATCGTCTTTCTAAACTCGGTATCGTGCGAACGGTAAAATTTAAATATTTATTATTTCGCAAGCGCCGCGCGTTTCACCGGAATTCGTGGCCCCGTCTCTCCCGGATAATCCCGCGGGACTTATCTGGCCAGGTGGCGCCAGTCCACCGCGTAAATCTATCGATCGATCGTGAATCATTTACTCAACCTCACCGACGATCTTTCTCCGCTTGGACAATTGTATTTCAATTTTTTAATCTACTTGGACTGACAATTTCGTTCCATAAAATTCGTCTGACCGAGGAATTTAAAGGGCGCGGAAGTTTAGAGCCCTTTCTCGAAAGGATTTCGATAACGCAACGATAGATTCGTGGAAGTTTGAAATTTATCTTTTACCAATCTGACGTGAAATTCTCACGATTCGATAAATATTTGCACTATGGAGATTCGCGAAAATACTTGGCCGTTACGCGTTGCTCAAGTGACGCTGCAAACATAGTTCGTCTTCCTACACATTTTTGGCTGTTGGTTCACTTTATTACCACTTTGTTTACAAAGTATTACGAGGAGAAGATATTACGTGTTAGGCGATATTAGACGCGTTTTATCGTACGTGCAATTTTCCCCGAGTGCAACGTGGTTATTGTTATCAGCGAAGTAACAGGTTTAAATAAGTGAACATGGCGAATTGTTTCTATTAAAGGGTTAATAATAACTGTGATAATCCTCTCGTCGAGTATCTCGTTTTCCCGCTATGTCTCTCCGGTTTTCCTTCTGTCCCCGAGAAAGCAAGATTATGTCACAGAGCGGGAGCGAGGGAAAAGGAAGAGTTGCGTCCTTTTTTCCCTTCTCTTATTTTTCTTTCTTACGCCGAAGCTTTTTCATTTCGTCGAATACTCACGTGCATCGATAAAACGGCTGAAATTGTACGCGTCCTTAATTGCGCCGCCGCCGTGTGTGCCTCTTGGCCGACAGCAAAAAAAGCGGCAGACGAGTTTAAACACGGCGGTGCGCGAGGCGCCTTTTTTCCTTTCGTTCCGGAGAGAACGTACAATTTTGCAATTACCGTGGCTGCACCGTGTGACGCAGCGAACGCGTCTGCATCTGCTCTTCCTTCTCTCTTATCTCGCTGTCTTTCTTTTCTCCTCATTTTTTCGGGACGCTCGCATCGTACGAATCGCATCGTCTTTAAGCTTGCACGAAGGTATCGGAGCGTTTTATTTATCGAAACGTCCCGAGGATCAAGAATATTCGGACTGGTTTGAGAAAATTTTCTCGTTTAAACGAATCGAAGCGCCGCGGAGGGGAGAACATGCAGAAAAGACCGAGTCAATTAATGTACATACTTCAGCGACTTCAGTGGTCTTAATTTAGAGAGCGGCGTTTCCCGACTTTTATTGCCTTGGCGTCAAAGTTGAAAAGCTTACAGAGACACTCGTTACGCACGCTCTGCAAGTACCAGTTGCCTGTGTCTTGTAAAAATTAACCTTATTTCCGTTTTCATTCTTTCACACACCTCTGCGTTCTCCCCCTCCCTCCTACGAGCGAGCACACCGGTGTATGTCAAAGGCTGCGTGCATAGAGTGTGGTTTAATCGTTGATCGATACGAATCGGCTAGCTGTTAATTAGAGTGTCCCAGGTAGGAAAAACCGATTTTTCACGGTGAAAACTCGCGCCTCGAGAGCACGTAGCAGGCCCACGTGTAATAATAAACTTGAGCCGCGTGAAACAATGTGGCAGAGTGTAGAAACGCGACCTCTATATCTCGTAAAGAATCCGAGTGGGCAAACTTTAGGTAAAATCGATATAGAAGTGGATAAAATTCGACGTTGCCTGAGAATGGAACGGCGGATTCCGGTGTTCTCATTGATTTCGTCTGAGTATTTGGCGCCACCCACGTGTACCCGTTCACGCGGTCGTTTCTCGCCGCGCCGCGCCGCGAATCATTTCCCTCCTGGGCATTTCCCCATGAAATCATCGCACCGAAAATGTAACGTTACCGTTGTCATCGGATTTCCCATCGTTATCGGCGAGAACCTCGTAGTCTCCGGAGTCCAGGTCCAAGGAAGCACCAACGACCACAGTTAGACTGGACACCATAGTCGCGAAAGTCAACAAGTCCCGCGACAACATTTTCAACACGATTATATATATATATAATGTATCACGCACTGTTTATTATCGTGTTTGGAAAACTGTTATTATTATCCTCGATTGATGTTACGTTTGTTACTTTGGAAACGATCAACTGAAATCGCGATTAAACTCCATCGAATTGTCGTTGTTTTTAACGATTCGGAGATAACGGGCGGCAGGGTCACGATCGATGAATGTTTACGGTGATCGTTGTTGGAAAATTCATAACGAATACTAGCCGGAGAGAGAGGAACGTGAAAAGTGTAGTTGGAAGATCGTTGGAGGTACAAACGAACGGCCGATCCCGGCGATGGTCGACGCTTGACTGACTGACTCACTTCGGTCTCGAAAAGCAAACGCCGTGCAGCCGGGCGACTCCGCCGCGGCTGGCGCGCACCAGGGGCACCCGGCGAAGAACACTCGCCAGATAGTTTTTAAACGAGTCCCGCCTCCGGCTGCGATAGTGTGCCCCCTTGTCGGTGAACCACGCACCGTGAACGCGTACAATACGCACGTTCGACGGCTGTCGTCGATCCCTGTGGTCTAATAGTCTATTTGGAGTCGTCTCACTTGTTGGTCAATGGCTCTTCTCCCATCGACTTTTATCATTTTATCGAACGTTACGTCGAAAATTCAAAAATTCTCCTAAATTTGAAAATTGTATCGTTTCTTGGAACTTTCGAAAAATTCACACGGAAAAGTTAATACCAATTATTCTACCAAAAGTGGTTACACTTGGTTTCCTTTTTTCTGAAAAATTCCAATACTTGTGATATAAAAGGTATGAAAATATAATCTCCGAAATTTAAAAATCGTGTAATTATTTTGGAACTTAAAAAAAATTGACACTCTAAAGTTGATATCAATTATTACGTTCGAATTTCCGAGTGAAATGGTTACTCCGAGAAAATTCATCGTCGTAATGGCACAATATTGTCAAACAGAAGATCCTCGTCGAAGCAATTCGATCGGTCAAAGGGAGGATCATGAGAGGCGCACATGGCCTGTACCACTTACGTTAATGGCGGCCACTGTACCGGAAGGTTGTGTGCGAGCAGGCCGGTGTGTCCGTGTGTTGGTAAAAGGTTGAGTGGTGCGGATCGACGCCGGGAAATGGGCGGCTGGTGAGGGAAACGAGGGACAGGGAGAAGGGAGACAGTGGCGCCTGAGCCCCGAGGCAGAGACGCCACGTTACCTTGATGTGAGTGCGTGTCTGTGTGGACACGCACACGGGGAACCTTTGATTCGTGGCTCACGCGAGCGCCTCCTTGGAGGAAGAGGAACGGGGGACGATGTGAAAGAACGGCAGCTTTACTTCTGCTGTAGACCGTCAGCCCTCCTCTCCTGACAGCCGGTCTCCTTTTTAGCTTTTGTCGTGCGCTATGTCGTCCCTCTGCTACTTCTTTTCCCCTCCTTGGCCGGTAAACGTGCGCGAGTGCCGCGCGAGTGCGGCCTTTCAAACTCGTGAACGCGATCTTAATGGAGTTGCGGGTGTTCAATTTTCTTCGGAATACCATTTAATCGGGCAATCAGAGAACGATTCAATCTTGGCCCAACTGTAAATGAGAAATACAAAAATTTGGATTCTAGAAGAGAGAAAGGGTTAGAAAAGAACGAACACGTAGAACGACAGTGTTGAATGTAATTATGAAGATGAAAGATCTGTATTATTCAGACACCGTTTGTATTTGATCCGTTTGTACATGAAAGTGTCGACACCCAAACTCTGAATAACAGGAATGATGAACGAGATAAATCGTCGGCCATTGTCCGGATAATTATGCATACGCGTGCTACTCGCTGGTCCTTTTCACTTTGCGTTAGATCTCTCTCTCTCTTCCCCGCGTTCTCATCCTGAATCGATCGTCGATAGGTAGTGATCACCACCTGGAGTCGAACCGGTTGCTCCGATGCGAATAGACGCGTATTAAGTTGCCTCGGTTAATTCGTTGCATTAATTCGTTTCCACGAAAAGAGTCGACGGTGTCTCGACTTCACAGACAGTATACGCTATCTCTCTCTCTTCTCGGTCGATTTCCATCCTCTTGTCTCGCCGGCCTCTCATCCGTGGTACTTTCAACTGCCGATAGTCAGACCGTGGTCCCCTATATTTGAACGGAAAATTGCCGCTTTCTTTCGCAAGTTCTTCCTCGCTAAAGAATCGATCCTCGAGGCGCAAAAAAACGTAATTCTAGTTATCCTTTTGAGGAAGTAACCGCGCAAACACAGCCGGTTCGATAGCTCGGACACGAGTGTTAGGTACGTGGAGACGATGCGCAAGCTTATTTTTAGCAGCGGGCATTAGCCAATTAACTATTAACTCGTTGGCGCCACGGTGCTGCTCCTATTTTTGCTTATTTCCTTGCACGAGCTATGCGCATCGTGTCTGCACCTCTCTTCCGAATCCTCCGCGTGTTTCTATCCGATCTAACAGTGACGCGCGCGACGTTAAGTGCCACTCGCTCTCGCGAAAACCACTCTTGCCAAATGAAATATGCCCCCTGGCACGATTTCTGTACCGATATTATTCTTGAGCCTGTTCCTTCGAACGGTTCCTGTAACGCCTCGCGAACGGCAACGACAACTTTAGCCACGCAAGCACGCGTAGTTCACGCGAGTTCAAAGCGTTTCATTGTTAATGCAGCAGATAACGGCAGAAGGCAAAGGCATATATGCCACCGAGCGGTTCGTTGACACTTAACAGCCAGATACGAATGCACGCTCGTGATTTCAGATCGTAAAGAAAAAGAGATCGCTTACTAATTACGAAGAGGAGAAGTCGAACGTAAATCATTTCGCTCGCTCAGAGGGGGATTGAACTTGCTCCAAGTAGAAAGAGAGAGAGAGAGGGA